AGTAGTTGCTACTACATATAGTACCTCAATCCCATGTCACAGTCACAGTCTGATTGAAGCAATAGTTTTACTAGTCGCCATAGTAATGGGGCATGATACTACTGGTGGTTGCCTACTAGTCGTAGTAGAGTAGTAGTACTACTAGTACAATAACAACTTCTGGCATGACGTGCCCTGTTGTTAATGAGTCGATCAGCGGACAGGCGGTGAGCAGCACGAACTAAGACGGAATGGATGATTGGATTGCATCGAACGATCGAAAGACTCATCCCGACATGACAATGGTGCACTTTTTGGCTGCGCCATTGATTCCGATACATCTTAAATATACCAACGCAAGGATCTGTTTCAAAGCCATCGTCGAAGTCTTATATCAACGCACGACGTAGCAGATAAAAGATAGGGGAAGCATAGACCCAACTCTAGCGTAAAATCTGAAGAAGGCAGCCAATCTTTCTACGAATCACATACCGATCTTTTTTTACGCCGTTCCTACCGATAACAATGGTAAGTTGAGTATCAGCAACATGAAGGGGAGGATACTCTTCAAATGGCCCAACACCAATCTGGCTGCTGACGGTGAGTCGTGCTAACCGCTCTCTCTGCGTTTGTATTTCTTGTGAAATCCTCAGCCCAGCGGAAAGGGAAGCAAATTACTGAGATACGTGGAGCATCGGCTCCGCGTAACGCTACACGACGGAAGATGTATCATTGGCACATTCTTGGCCTTTGACAAACATTTAAATTTGGTTCTCAGTGAGGCAGAGGAGTTTAGGACCTTGCGAAAGAGTGGGGCGGCGTTACTCGAAGAAAGAACGGAAAGGAGAAGTCTCGGACTAGTCTTGGTTCGTGGGGAAAATGTCGTTAGTTTGGCGGTGGAAGGTCCACCTCCGCCTTCGTCCAAGAGCGCTGCGGGTATCGCAGTTACCGGAAGAGGACGTGGCATGCCAGGGATGTCAGGAGGTGGGCCTCCTCCGAGAGGTGCTCCCATGGGGCTCGGTGGGGCACCAATGCACGGTGTCGGTGCCCCTGGCATGGTTCCACCGCCACCGGGAGGAATACCACCGATGGGCATGGGTCGAGGGAGAGGAGGACGACGATGAAGAAAAATGTTGTCCGCCTAAGCTTTGTTTCTTATTAGTGTGAGATGGGGAAGTTCTGTGTCCAAGATGTAGCAGAAAATGAAGAGTTTCCAAGCCATTCGCTGTTTATTTCATACATTGGCAGCACACAGAGCACAAGCAATTGGTCGGTTCGTAGGTTGACTCGAACAAAATACATAAATCACAAGAATGATTTTCTGGCATCTGGATGCCAACCTCTTGATATAGTGAAAGAGAATTCTATATCTAGAGGATTCAAACAACTACAACATGAAAAGACAATTATTGTTTTCAATACAAATTTCTAATAATGGAAACCTGATAATCTAGTTCCTCCTCAAGCAACAACTAGCAATACCTGTAGTGTGATGGATAGACATAGAAAGACAATTGCTGCTTACGGCATACATTTTCAGAGTAACAACCTTGGCAATCAATCTAGTCCTTCCTCCTACAAATCCTCTTTCTGCTCCACATCACAATCAAAATCCAACCAGTAGTACTCCTCCTCAAGGCCCATCCATTAGCCAACTGAACCACCAGAAGCTCTTGCCTACTGCTACAAGATCATCCTAAATACAATGGTAGATATGGAAATTTCTGAATCTGAAAAAGAATATGTTTGACCTGGTGATAGCATCAGAAACACAGGTCTGGTGAGACTGGAGGGAAGTAGTCATCACATGCCTTCTTTGAGGAGCTAGTCTCTTCTAGTAGGAGATAATGTGTCCATTGAGATCAATGTTGCATTGCTCTCATAGACGTCCAAGGGAGTGTTCTGGACCTCTCTTGCCCTCATGCAAGGTTAATTTTTAGAATACGCACCAATTTTAAAAAATTAATGTCTTTGCACAACTCAATTTTAAAATATACACCATGGAATTCAGGGGGATCCACATTCAGAAAGTTCTGTTGTCCTTGTCACCAGAATTTTAGAGAAAGCCTACTTGACAAATTTAAATAAAAATAATTGTCTATTCTTACTTCTTACAAGGTTAGGGATATTTGCATCATACCATACTACTATTTTGTATGTATTACTATGTATCATTGTTACTACTAGTAGCACTGCAATTCTACCAGAAAATGTGGTTCTTGTAAAAGATGATCCAAATAACAAGAATAATACTTTAAGCATAAAGTCATGCATTGGTACTACATTATTTTTCTTCTATGTTTCTTGCACAATCTTCATGGAACAGCAATTATGGTAAAAAAGCTATTCTACTAGTAGTAGGCATTGGTTCAAATATCTTCTGGTTGCAGTATCCTCACCAATTTTTGAATGTTTCATGTAAATAGTCTCTTAATCATGTAGTAAATAGTCTCTTAATTTGTTCTTTAAGCCAACTACAGATGTAGTAAATTGTTTTTCACTAATATTTAATTCTCATTAAGCATTTGATCATAACACACTCATACTACTACTAGTGTCACCAGGAATAAATTTTTGGTAAATTTTGATGCAACACATAATGCAACAAGCCAAGTCCCTAAAATTATCTGCTGCATGCAAAATACACCGGCTCTAGGAGTAATTTATTTAAATCCCTTATGAATCCCCATATGCTCTGATGATATCAATGATCAGACATCATCAATGTCAATCATTTGGAAGCAAACGTTCTGCTATACCAAATCACTCACTATCATGATATTGTATGTCCAGAAAACACAATTTTTGTAGTCATAAAGGATCATTCCTGTTAATCTAGTAGTAGATGGTTTACTTTTTGACAGACAGACAGACAGACAGACAGACAGACAGACCAAAAATAGACCATCTAGTCCAATTTTTTAGACTTTCTGTCAATGCTTGCTGATTCACCCTTGACAGAAAGTCTAAATCTAGACTGGAATCCAAGAATCAAAATCTGTTGTAGGACTCAACTGAAAAGACCCGCCAAATTTAAGACTGGTAAAAAAATTTTAGTTGCTAATGGAACATTGTGCATGTCTGTAACAAGAGATGACAAAGGCGGCTGTGACATCATAAAAATACAGCAAAAACAATGTCCCTTGTTTTAGTGACAGCTACTCTAGTATATCTCAGATTGAAACAAAGAGAGGCACAACTGCAGAAGGTCTTGTGTCATGGATCAAGACACTGCAGAGGGGGGGGGGGGGGAAGAAGATTCTTCTCACAATATTCATTCCTCGTGCAACAAAGATGTCAACTGATCCCCCAGCACCAGTCCCTCCTCCCACAGGAGGGTCAATCAAAAGTAGAGGGGTCAGGCCGTAAGGCCGGTACTACAAACTACTCAGAAGATGAGCTTGTCTTGTTGATGACTCTCATCAAGGAGATCCTCCCCATTGGAAAGAGTGACTGGCTCATGGTGATTCACAGGCATGGACAGAGCTATCCCTATGGTAGAACAAAGGATTCCATTAAAACCAAGCTCAATTGCTTGAGGAGACAGAAGGCACCTACTGGGAATCCCATTGTCCCTGAGTTGTCCAGCTTGCAATAGAGGCCCACTGGTTGATTGGAATAAAGGCAAATCTTGGAACTGGAGAGGAGACCTTTGATCCAGTCAAAGGTTACATATGGATGATGAGGATGTAGAGGTCTTAACTCCAAAATCAAGCAACACGGTGTCAACGTCAGATACAACCAACAGCAATGATGCGCCCATTGTCGGCAAAGCGCCCATTATTGTGACAGCAACACCAAGGAAGAGATCCTATGGAAGGCTGAAGAACAAGGAAATTGCTGTACAGGATGCTGTTCTTCAGGAGTATCTCATGCAACAGGATAAGAGGGAAGCTGAAAGAGACAGGAAGGCTGGTGATGAGCGGGAGAAGGAACAAAGAGCAAAAAGGGCTGATGAGAGAGAGAAGGAGAGAGCAAAAAGGGACAAAGCACGAGATGAACGTTGGCTTACCATGGCCCAAACCATTGCAATGGCACATGCTGGTAACAAAAACAAGCGCCATTGCACCAGTGGCAGAAAATCCCATGGTGAAAGCAACTAATTCCAATATTTTAGTTCATTTAAACAGCATTCCAAGCAGCACAGTACAAGAATAATGAGCTAAATAGTGTGAATTGCTTTAAAACAGCAAACAGCGTTAGACCATGTTGTTATCTATTTTGCTGATAGTACCAATGAAAACCAGGATTAGAACGCTCCATTTTGCTGATAGTACCAATGAAAAATGGGATTAGAACTCATATTTGGACTGTTTTGTGCAATCAGCACGTGCTGTGCAATCCCACAAACTGGCATTTGCTTGCATTTGTTGACATTCACATGGATTGCTTGCATACCTTTTCTTCATTACAGCATATATCTTCATGTTTAACATATTCATCTTCATTACAGTATATTCTGGTTTCAACAGCTCCCACAAAGGGTATACAAGAAAACCCATACTCGTACTAGCAACATGCAAAACCATGGCAAAAATTTGGAAATGTTGTTAGAAGCTTGGAGCTTGTTGCTTTAGTTCTCACTAGTATTTTGCTTCAACTATGTGTTAAAACAGTCACTGGTGTTCTCCCAAACTAACCAATCACACTCCACCATGTTTCAACCACAGCAACTTGACCATGGGAATCATCCAAAGAATGGATTGTTTACAACTGGAGATACATTCCTCCCTGTATGGAAGTACCCTGGAGCCAGTGCCTTGAGGGTATGAGGCTCCACCATTGCCTTTTGCGTTGCCAGGGGTGTCTTCATGAAGACTGTCAAGATCTGATTGCTGTGACCAATGGTACTGCACTGGTAGTTGTACAAGTTGATCAGCAAGTGGATAATGATCTTCCTCTCTCTGTAGTCTTCCAGTCTGAACCTATCCTTCATCCTAGGGAACTTTCCTTGGATCATCCTCATTCCCCACTTTGACATCTGCCTCAGCTATGTGACATCCCTATTTGTTAGGAGACTATCTTCATCCTCTGGATCTTTCTGAGAACTTTGAATCAGATAGTCCCTGCCCAACAAGCCAAAAGCTGAATCAACAACAACCCTTGCTCCTCCAGCACAGGTGCTGTCCAATTAAGCCATCTTGTTGTAGAGTCCGTAGTCACTTGTGGAGCTATCGTGCCATGTGCCTGGGCAATTAAAGGTACCAATGCGGATCCTACCATCCGGTGCAAACACAAACACACTATTCACGTAAGTATTTGCCTTCCATCCATTGAAGAAGATCTCTTGTAGCCACTTATACATCACTGTTGATGTAAGACCAAACACCATTGCCATTCCCCTTGCAACAGATCCTCTAGTTCTATACCAGAAGAGCACTAGTCCAAGACAACAAGTAGCGTCTGCCTCCCTTGGCTTTCCCTTCTTTTTCCCAGTCCTAGTGGGTGGAGGAAGAAGAACAATCTCCTGCTAAAACTGCTTCTGTGACAGCATCTAACGCTTCCAACGCAGATGGAGCTGCTAAGGCGGCTAATGTGGCTCAAGCTGCTGATGCAACTGTTGGGTTTAAATGATACTGCTGCCAGCTCCACAGATGCAAGGAGCTTGATTTTGCGTCCTAAAACAAGATCTCCAGAAGCTTGCCTGGCGCCTCATTTGGAGGCTTGCTCCAGACCTCCATGTTTAAAAACAGCGCTTCATTTAGAGGCTTGATCTGCACCTCCAAGGTGGCAATTGGATTTAAGGGCCCAATCTAGGCCCTGAGGACAACAACAGCAACAGCAGAGGAGGAATGAGGCTCCTTATCATCCAGAGGCTAAAGATAGGACTGTGGAAGAGGTCCAGGTGATAAATACAGAAAGAGCGGCAAGGGCGGCTCTTCCTCTGTGCCGTGCCAAAACACCAAGGCCTCCAGATTCTCCACCCCCTACTCATACCACCACTATTGGACCAGATCTCCCACTTCCAGATGCAGCAGTGGATCTTCCTGACTATGTGCTCACTGAGGCAGATGCAAAACTGGACAAGATCTATGGAGACCATGTTCACAACAACCCCAGCATGCATCTTACTGGTGGCATTGCTGATGATGCACTCTGGCAACACAGATGGAAACGGATTGTCAACATCAGACCTAGACGGTACCTAGTCCCCCAGAATTGTGTGGGGAAAATGTTTCTCCAGAGATTTTGCATGGAGCTGCCAAGATTGCTTCTGCAAGAGTGGAATTCTGAGCGTCCCCTGGTATTTGTGGCAGTTATCCTGCAGGAGGCGCATGGAGTGAAAAGGGTGGGTGACATCTGATGCCTCATTGAATTATTGGGACGTCAGTCACTACAGCCCACCCATTGACAATCTAGTTGCCCAGGCCCATCTCAGAGATGGACCTACCAACCCCAAGGCTGGTGTCCAAGCTTTTCGGGCCTTCAATGACAAGCTTCTTTCAGGTT